CCCTCTGTTCCCCCCCGGGCAGCCACTGCACTCGCAGGCTGTGGTTAGGGCACTGCAGCAAGAGTCAGACCCGCCCTGTTCCCCCCACCCCCAGTCCTGATTCGGGGAGGGGATAACCCAGGACCTCTACTGTAAGGTCGCCCCTGGTGACCCACAGCACCAGCACCTCAACCCCTTCCTGTCTCCTTCCCAGACTGTCAGGCTGTACGGAGCACTGGGGACAGAAGGGTGCCTGGCTGGGGGACCTCGGCACTGCCAGCTGGGGGACAGAGAACAGGGGAGGGCTGGAGACGTGCTGTGCAGTGCCAAAGGATGCTGGCACTGCCAAGGTCCCACTCCCCCACCAGCAGACAAGACTTGGCGTGAGCCTTGCGCACGCCCGGCACCGGCTGCATCCTCCCGGTTCTGCCTCAGCACTGCTGACAGCAGGACGACGGCAGAGCCTCCCCAGCCCCATCTTCGGTGGGGTTAGGGGACAAGCAGTGTTAGGATCTGCTGCCTGGCTCCAGCCCCCGGGGAGCCTCAGCCAGGCATAAATATTTCAGGGGGCTCGGCCGTTTTGTAATAACCGCCAACAAAGATAAACACCGGGAAAAGCAATATTTTTCCATGTGGGCTGGAGGAGTTTAATATTTTATCGCTCAGAGCACAAAATATTTATGAACAATCTCATGTCAATCACTGGCTGAGGACTAATCATGACCTTTCCAAGCCAGGGAGGACACATCCCCACCACAGAGTGACAGCCAGGCCTCCCCTGTCCCTTGTCCCCCCACTCCAAGCCCTGGCTTTGGGGTACCACTTCCAACTGCTGAGGAACAATCCCTGGGCTGCTGGAGCCATGGGGAACATGGGGGCACTGGGGCAGGACAGGGGCTGAGCTCTGCCAGCCTGACATTGCCCCGGTGCACCATGGCGGTGATGTCCAGCCTGCTCCCTCATTCCCAGCTGGTGACAGGGAACTGGGACCAGCACGGGCAGCCCTCCCTGCCTGCACTCCACAGCTGCGGGACCAGGCAGGGGGGACGCTGTGGCAGTGGCACTGCGCATGCAGGTTGGTGTCCCCCTTGCCAGACCTGGCACAGCCCACCAGCAGGCCAGGGACCAGTAAATGATTTTACTTTCAGCAGGTTCCCAAGATGGGGGCGGATGCCACCTACCTCCAACCCAGCCCAGCTTAGCTCAGCACAGCAGCCGAGACCCTTCCCTGCTCCCCCGGCAGCTTGCAGAAGCCCGGGCTGGTCCCCGGGGCTGTGCTGGGCTACCTGGGCAGAGAGCGAGCCTGGTAGCGGAGATGCAGAGCCCTCAGGGAGCTCCCTGGCTCGGCTGGGGGGCACGGCGGGCACCCCACTAGCAGCCTCCCACCCGCAGCCCCCTCCCCACCTCAGAGCAGGATGGCGCGATCAGCCAAGAGGCAGTCAGCAATGTCACCGGCCACCGGCGACGAAAAGCATCCACTTTATTACAGACCCCAAAAGCGCCTGCCGCAGTGCCAGGAGGAGCAGGTGTTTACATGGGATGTTTCAATTTTTCAGCAAGGGGAAGAGAAGAGGGGAACAAACCCAACCAACCCTACTCACGACTCTTTGGTGCTGGAAAACACACGGTGGTGCGGCAGAAGCTGTGGGTGAGAGGGGCACCTGCAGGGACAAGAGGGGACACCTCTGCCATCCACCACCGTCCGCACCCTGAGATGCCTGGGGGGAATTTGTGACGCATCTAGAGACACACAAATGGTAAACGCATTTCGCTGCACCCCCCTGCCGGCACTGACCCTGCGCTGCCGAGCGCTGCAGGAGACCCCCCGCCTCCTGGTGTCCCCAAAACGGTCAAACACCCTTTCTGCAAAGAGGGAGAGCAGGTCCCGGGGGAATCCACAACCTAAATCTCTTGGCTGGACAGGAAGGAGGTGGGAAAGGCGACCGGTTCCCAGTAGCTCAGACCCCGGTGGGAGGCAACGCAGCCTGGTCCCCGCCTCACTCTTCTCCTCTCTCGGCAGCGATGGGCTCCTTGGTCCACTTGTCTGCGACCTCCTGGTTGCCTGCATAGCCCGTGTCAGGCAGCAGCAGGCCCTGGGCTCCATCCCCATCCCCAGTGACCTCCAGGTCCAGCTCCTCAAAGGAGGAGCCGCTGGCTCCTGACTCGCTGTAGCTATGCTCACTGCGGTTGTCCCCCTCCTCCCGGCCACGGCTGGCAGGGAAGGGCAGCAGGATGGAGGTGGCCACCGAGGTGTCCCTGCTGTCGGTAGTGGCCTCGATGCTGATGGAGCTTGTCTCGCTCATGGTGTCGGCCCCTGGAACGGAGAGAGAAGTGGAGGGAGTGAATGCTGTGGGAAGGAGGCAATGGGGATGGGCTGTTGCAGTCTTCAAAGCCACCAGAAACCTCAGAGACGTCAGGTCACAGTGGAGACAAGTTCCTGCATCTTGTCACCTCCTGTGTCTCTGAGCAGTGACCAGACCAAGACATGCACGAGCTGGACTCATGCACCTCCCTGAAATCAGGGCACCCTCCAGCCGGCACAAACAACCCCAGTGTCCCAGCCGTGCCCTGACCTCCCGCCGGGCCCTGGCCCCACTGCTGCTCTCTGGGCACACATCAAGGACCTGGTACGCCCTTCCTCAGGGAGAACGCCTGGCCTGGGAGCAAGGTGAGGAGCAGGACGCAGTGCTGCGAGGGTGACAGAGAGCTGCAGCACTGCTCGAGCACCCCAGGGCATGGTGGCACATGGGCAGGTCCTCCGATATGCGGCTGTCAGAGGTGGGTGTGTGTCCAGCCTCAAGCCAGGGCATCCCAACGCTGCCTTCA